TTGAACTGTAATCTATTGATATTATTGATTCGATGTTATTTAAACAACATTAATGTTGATCATAACATTAATTTATTCATTCACTATAATGTATATATAACTGTAGAGCCTGATGATGAAGGCGTTATCGAAAAGAGTACTCTTTGTTCCGTGTCCATTCTTTTGAAAACATTTTTAATGGGCATTTTTAATTATTTAAAAGAAACTGTGATGAAACTTAACCTTGTCGAGATGGTTTAATTGCAAACTAGGAATATTTTTCCTTGTTCAAAAGGCCTTCAACTTCGTAATATAGTTAATCAACTGCGTAATGACTTCGACTACTGGAGTCATATCAAGATCTACCGGTGAAAGTCTTCAAATTTATTTAACTGGGTGGTCAACACTCTTTTTGTTCTTTGTTGCTTTCCCAATGGAATATAGGGCTTCAGTAGTGAGCTTTGAAGTCTTAGGGACAGTGGTGTTACTCCTTTTTATGGTGTAACGGGAGAAGACGAGAGACGTGTTATAGGAATGGTTATTTGGAATTGATAATCTCTATATAGACCTCAATTAGTTAACTAGCTCGCTAGTTTTATGGTAGGTCCCAAGCGCAGGTAAAGAGGAGGGAGGGTTGGGCGTGGGGCTAGCAGCCCTACAGGATGTTCAACGCACAAGAAATATATTAAAAATACAATAAATATAAAACACAAATTTATTATTTGCTGGAATTGGAGAGGCGAAATGACACAGCGGGCTGGTGAAAGGCAAGAATATGATTGGGAACGTGGAATGCACATACAATGTATGAGGCTGTCTGGAAAGGCTGCCCAAATAGCCAGAGAAATGCGAAAACATGGCGTAGAAATGCTAGTAATCTGCGAGAGCAGATGGAATGGATGTAAAATGGACTTTTAAAATTGTCAACTGGTGACTTAGTAATCTACTGCAGTCTGGTAACCCAAGTGACAACTACGAGCACACTAAGGCAGTGAATGCCTATCATGATGTCACCAGTGGCAGCCACAGCCATAATGTAGTGGGGACAGATTTCATCCGGGATAATGACAGCAAGATTCAACTCAAAAGGAAGGGAGGTTACAGCTGTCCAATACTACGCACCTACAAAGAACGCGGAACAAGAGAAGAAGGAAGATTTTTATAGACAAAAATAAACAGTAACAGACAATATCCCGAATGATGACATCAAAATCCTCGTGGGCGATATGAATGCCATAGTGGGAGCAGATAATACAGGAAGAGAACTCATCATGTGTCGAGAGGCTCCCACTCGGAGAAATGAATGAGAACGGAGAATTATTCGTAGACTTCTACGCTTTCATTGATTCGGTGATTGGAGGCAGGGTGTACAAACACAAGGATATATACAAAGCAACATGGATTTCGTCTGACGGAAGCACTACAAACCAGACATATTTCATCCCACTGCGGCTCAGGAAAGTGGAAACGCAGCCTGGTGGATATAAAGTGGAGAAGAGGAGCAGATATAGGCGCAGACCAGCATGTCTTTCAAGGAACCTTCACGGTGAAGCTGAAATCGTGAAGACAACTGGAGACAGGCCAGAATCCAAGTTCAGCATTCAGAAACTGAAAGATGCTACTACAGGAGATACCCGCCCCCGACCATCGCTCGTGTGGAATCCCAATGGGAGGCGACGAGTGGGTCGTCACTTTGAGGGTGACATGGATGAGATCATGTGGCGAGCAGGAGATGAAAGATTATGGGCAATCGTGGACCCAGCTGAGTTGAAGAGGACAGCAGAAAATAGAACAAAGTGGAGATGTGTTGTTGAAGCCCTATATACCGAAATTATATACTCCTTATCTTCATCGCACCATTTGCACACATCATCCATGTTGTGCTACTTCTCACCTTCTTATTTCACGTTTATCATATATCTCCTTAACTCTGTACCATTTGATTTCTCTGACATCAAATCTATCCCCCTGCTATCTGATGTTTATATATATATACTACTGATAAATCTTGTCAGTAGCACACGCCACAATGGGATGAAGTTGCTAGTTTTACGCTCAACCTCCCCTCTTTACCTGGTTTTCTACCGATAGGATAAGCGAGATTTAGGAGTGACGGCTTTGGGGATCCAACCACAGAGCATGTGAGGCGTTTTTGGAGAGCATTCTCCCTTTTTAACACGTTGACGTGAGGTGCAAGCATGAGTGTCTAAATAATAATATACTGTCAACTATTTAATAATAACTAATCAGTATAAGTAAGGAGTCTACTGCATAGTTCAGTGTGTTTCATCACCACACAGTATTATTCTAATTTCTAATATATTTGAGGATGAAACTTTCATTTTGTTTAAATGGAAATACAAAAACTGTTGATTTCTAGTGAGTTCATTAAAATCGGATTCAGATTCACTTATTTTTCGTGATCTAAGATTTCAATTAACACATTAATATCACGAAAAATACCCATTTATTCATAAGTAAAAACACAGTTTTTTGTTCAGCGAAGAAATTTCTTTTCAACGACTTCATTTTCAAGCTGTACAGTCGTATTTATATTACAGAAAAGGTTATTAAGTGGCACTAAATAATTGGTCAGTCAATATACATATATGTGATAAGAACAACGATAATTAAAATAATATAAGGCGAACGTAGAACTGCGAAGTCGTCTCTCTGTGATCACCTGTTAGAGTCAGGTCATTTAGCCCCACGTGATTCATCTTTCAAAGTTATCTGCATGGCAAAATCGAATCGATCCAAAAGTTTACGTTTTCTTCACTTATGCATAGCCGAAGCTTTAGCTATACATGTACAGAAACCTAAATTATGTGTTCGAAAACGTTTTGTCAAACCCCTTTCTTTACCTTGGTCATAGTAATGTTCTTTCTAGTTTTTACTTTATTTTATTTTACCACTTGAATTCTTTCCACTTCACTTCACGTCTTCATTCTTATCGTAATCGTACTATTATTTTATAAAATTTTTCGACAACACTTGACATTTTAAAATCATTTTTGATTTCAATTCACTTATAAAACAATCTTTAATAATTTTGTAATTTATCCACTTCAACTCTACCCCTTATAACATTTTAATAATCGTTATTCTTATCACATATATGTATATTGACTGACCAATTATTTAGTGCCACTTAATGACCTTTTCTGTAATATAAATACGACTGTACAGCTTGAAAATGAAGTCGTTGAAAAGAAATTTCTTCGCTGAACAAAAACTGTGTTTTTACTTAGGAATAACACATTAATACACAATCGATGTTGATTGATTCATTTCCAGGGCATTATTTCGACACTGACATGCCTTAATCATATGCCGAAGTATTCTGTGAATTCGTCTTTTGTTCTACTCCTCTATGTAAATATTTGCTTATACGTGTGATACATCGCTGAATCCTATTTCGGCAAACATTTAAATAATTGTCAAACACGTAGCTTTGTTTTACTGAGTAAATTAACAGATCAATCAAAATATAATTATGCACCTAAGTTTGGTATGTCATTGATATCATTACTACTGTAATGACAGAAGACAAGAGCCAAACAACAGATCGTTTATTGAGAAAATCAACAGATATTTATAGGTTTCTATGTACATTATTATTAGCGTTATTGTCAGCAGAGAAACAAAGCCTCCTAATTGGTTGTTTTCTTACTGAAGGTTATTCTGTGCTGCTTGTGACCATTTCTCAGAAAGTTAAGCCATATATCTACGAATCGTGTTTGCACACGTTAAGTCTGCTGTGATTGGCTGTTGAGTTCCTCAAGGTTAAGCTTTGTTACTGTTTTTTTCTCATGACCCTGATTCGGGACGTAACACTGACGTGAATTGTTGTTTACAATTTTGGCTTTTTCACAGCCAGCTCTCACCACATTACCATTATTATTATAATTGAGTTAATACTATGCACAAATGATTTTCGACTATTCTGTATATCGGCATTCAAACCCACAAACTCAATTAGAAACAAGTTTTGTCGGTTAAAGGATCAATCCTGTGGAGCCTTTTAAACAAAACAATTTAGTTTATCTAATACCCTACCTGCAATGATTGTCAGGTCAAATAAATAGGCCAAACTAGTAGAACAGGGTCAGTCAGACTAGATGAACATAAAAACTTAGCAAATCTAGATTAGTTGACCCAAATAAGATAAGAAATCTAGAGAATAGTTCGGCTATAGCACTCACCACATGCAATTACACACTACCATACAATAGGATGTGCGTCGGTGGCATAGCGGTTAGGACGCTCGCCGACAACGCACAAGCCACAAGCTTGAAGCCCTATGCTCCACTGGGGAACGTGAAGGAAAGAGAAAAAAATACAATAGGATGGGAAAGGATGACACTTTTAAAATCTAATGTCACAGGGTGGAGGGAGAGATCGATTACAACAGAGGCTTTGTTTATCGAATCAACTGCAAATACATGTTATAGGAATGATTC